TATATATATATTACTTATAGTAATGCCGAATTCTAAGGAATCAATATTCATTGTAAATACATTTATTCCATTTAAAATACTTAAAGTATTTGTTTGCTGAGTTTGTATGTGTGAGGAATGAATTGCGAAGTCTTATTTCTCTTTGCTACGATTCACTGATTCAGTTCCTTAGTGTGTATTTGACTTATACATATATATGTATATATATGTATATAGATATATACATGCTTTTTTGTATATATGTATACATATTTCGAGTATATACTCCAAATCGATGCAAATTTTCATAGATGACATTGTTGTGTGGTGTGATTAGTTTATTGTTTGTATCTTGGTGTATTTATTTTGATTTATTTAATTATTTTTTAATTGTTTTGGCTTTCTTTGACAGAGCTCCCTGTATATATGTACGTAAATATCAAATTGTTTTGCAAAATAACAGAAAACTTGTAGAAAACAGATGATAAACATTAGTTCAATTTTTGGTATTCATTTTATTTTTGATACTACTAGCAGAAGCTTCAGTTGCTGTCTTCATGCAAAATTCGTAATCGGAAATTTGGACCGGTCGACTATATGGCAAAATGATTTCGAATGTCAGTGTCTGCTTTGCTAGCACTGTTTTTAGTCGGGCATATATACCATGGACCAGTCTTACCACATAACTGCAAATAATGATTTCGATACTTTTTCGCATGTATTAAAAAACAGTTACTTTAGCTAGTTAAAAACGCTGTAATAGACTGATAGGTAGATAGGTAGGTAGGTAGGAAGCTAAAGTAGTATATTTTTGGTAAAAGTATATTGCAAGTTATTGTTGTTATAAATAGTAGGTAACTCAATGCATGCATATGTAAATCGAACAAAGTTTAAGAGTAAAATGTTGTACATGTTTGCTTGTAGTTAATTTGTTTGTTTTGGTTCGAACTCAATAAAGTATGTAATGTTGTAATAAATGGCATTAACAATATATAAGTAAGGTTAAACGAACGATTGGCTTTAAAGGTTAGTATTTACTGTGAACAAAAGAGGCAAAGTGGCTTCGAAACTAAAATGCATTACGGAAAGAGTTGGGAGCCTCCATTAGTCAACCGTACTGCAGCCACAGTGACCGTCAACAGTCAGCGCACACAGCCGAAAGCTTTGCGTAGGTCGGCATTTGCTTTATCCATTTTCCTTTTTGGTTTCCAAGCTTTTCGCGAGCTTTTGCAACTACCAACAGGCAAAGCTTTCGGCTTGTGCGACGTCTTTTAGCAATTTCTTTGGTTTAAGCCTAAAAATACGTATCGACTTTGGATTGTTTGTTGATTGGTTGGTTGGGTGATTTTTGTTGTATTTTTTTTTTCTTTAGTTGGTTTATTGCGCTTGGAGGTTAACTTAAAATCAAAGAACTCAAAAGGGCTTTCGGTTTGTATTGCTTTCAACTGAAGCGCGCCACGCGAGAGAGAAAGCTTGCAGCAAGCTTTTACGCAAAAATACTCAGCGAGAGGTACAGAGATAAATAGAGAGAGAGAGAGAGAGATAGAAATAAAGAGTGAGATAGAGAGCAAAAGAATAAGAGAGAGCGCAACTTTTT